TCAACTTGTTCGCATCTGCCCACACAGATTCTTTTTAAGTCCTCTTGAAGTTTTTTTGTGGCTGCTAATAGGTCAGAAGGAGGGAAGGACAGGTATATTTGGAAATCATCTTCATAGATATGGTATTGGGAGTGATGGATCAGGAGAGGAAGGTCAATCAATGTAAATAGCAAACAGAGTAGGAGATAGGGACGCCACAGGAGAGGGGCATGACTTAGAGGGAGGTTGACCTTAGACGATTACATACTGGGATCTATTTGAAAGGAAGGATTGGAACCATCGCAGGGCGATAAAGGAAGCTGTTGCAGTTTAGAAAGGAGGATGCTGTGGTCAAGTGTGTCAAAAGCTTTGGAGAAATCTAGGAAAATGGGGATAATAAGTTTTTGGTGTTCAATGGAGTTTTGGAGGTCATAGGTTATTTTTAGGAGGGCAGATTGGGTTGAGTAACAAGGACGAAAGCCAGAGTAGAGAGAGTTGATTAGGAAATGTTCTTCTAGGAATTTGGAATGTTGAGTTAGGACGAGGCATTCCAGCAGTTTTGAAAGATTGGAAAGGAGAGAAATGGGACGTCATGATGTGAGGAAGGATTTGAAGTTTTATTTAAAGGTTGGACTAGCTGTTTTCCAGGCAGATGTGAATATGGAATTTTGCAATGAAAAGTTGTAGATATGGTAAAGTACGGGAAGGCTGGATTTTATTAGTTTTACTGGAATATTATCAGGGCCATAATCATTGGTATGAGATTTTAGGATAGTGGAAATTAGTTCATGGTAGGACATATAGGAGAAAAAAAAATCTTCCATATTGAAATTGTGATGCCCAATATTGTAAGTAGGAGAAAGATAAGAAGTGGTCATTGAGATCATCTGGAGTCATGGGAAGGAACTGAGATTATTGGATCCTGGTGGGGATAGATTACAGAGTATTTTCAATTTGGATTTGGAGTTGGGAGAATTGGGAAGGGCATTATTGAAGTGTCTTTAGCTAGTCGGATTGCGGATGGAGTACTATTACAAAGTTCTTTAAAAGACGCATAATCAATAGGCAGACAGGTTCTGCGATATTTGTGCCTTGCTGTATCCCTTCTTTTTATCATTTCCTTTATTTCAGGAGTCAGCCAAGGAGCAGTGGGACGGCGTAAGGTTCTAGTTTTCAGAGGAGCATGGGTGTCTAATATGGATTTTAGGTTTGAGGTAAGGGTAGATACCATAGGTTCAGTGGAGTTATAAAAATATATGATATCCCATTGGACAGAGTCGAGGTCAGATTGAAGGGATTCATAGGAGGAGGTTTAAATTGCGATATGAAATGATTTTGGGAGTAAAGGATTTCACGGGTAGGTCGTATGTAACTTGGATTAGGTCATGTGATGAAAGAAATGGAATGGGATGTTGAGAAGAGGAAAGGATTTTGATGGGAGAGTCAGAGATGTAGAGGTCTAACCAAGTGTCAGAAAATTTCGTGTGATGAGCGGAGAATAAGGAATCAGATAGAGATTAAGAGAAAACATCAAGTCAGTAAGAAAGTATTTTTCAGGAGATTCTGAGAGCATATTTACATTCTTCTTATTATTTATTATTATTTAAGTTCTTTTGAATATCTAATATTGACCGTTGCATTATAAAGGAAGGAGATGGTCCGGGGTTGCAGTCATAAATAGGCTAAATAGTTTTACCACTATTTAGCCTATTTATGACCGCAACCCCGGACGATCTCCTTCCTTTAAAATATTCTTTTCTGTGCAAATGTTATTAAAGCATAAAATTAACATGGTATCAGGTCAGAATTGAGCTAATTCATTGCGATGTCCAGTCTACCGACTCCACGTGCATTAGATCTCACAGATCTTGACCAAAGCAGTGAAAACTGGGCAGTTTTCAAATGATAGTGGGAGAACAATCAGATACGGCTCATTGTCAGTAACAAGTAAAACGGTACCTACTGCATTATTTATATCGCTATAGGCCTCTGAGGGCTTAAAAATTTTGAATAAGCTCAGAGGTTATGAAGGGAAACCAGTTGAAAGTATATTAAGCTACCACAGTAGTACTTTTCAAGGGTATTCTATGTTCTTATATATGATATCTTTAAGGAAAATATAAGCCCTTATACTTTCAAATTTTTTATTCTCATTCCAAAGATGTTTCAAGCTGATTAGCTCATTATTAAGTCATCTACAAATAACAATTAAACAAAGAAAATTTACAACTATGATTGCTCATTATCTAGTCATATAAAAAATGAGAACTTTTGAACATAGAAAAAACATTTTTTTACCTACTAAAATGTATTTCAACATAATTTCATTGAACAACCATTTGTAGTACACCAAATACCAAAGATAATCATATTCCTCTTCTCCTTCTTCTTCTTTGTCTTCCTCTTCATGCCATTACTAGCGTCAAGGAGCCTCTATCCAATGTAGCCATGCCTCTTGGTCCCTGCTAAGCTGCCTCATTTCCTGGAGGGTTTTGCCTCTCTTCTCTCCAATCCTCTGTATATACTCCTAATAAGAAATTCTGGGGCGGCCCCTCAGCCTCCTCCCAGTGGGTAGAGCTTCCAGAATCTTCCGCAGATCTTTCTCCTCCTCCATCCAACAAACGTGGCCAAACCACTTCAACTCTCTGTTTTCCAGTAATGTCTTTAGCTCCGCGACCTCCAGGTCCTCTCTTATGCGTTCATTTCTGACGTGATCTCTCCTTAGAAACTTCCAGCAGCTCTCCATAGAAACTTCATCTCGGCTGCTGTCACACGGCTAACTTGCTTGTCTAGCATAATCCAGCTTTCCCTTCCATACGTGAGGGTTGGGAGGTATACCGACTTGTATATGTGCCTTTCTGTTTCCTTGCCAACTTCCCTGTGCCCTACTATACTGTTGCTGATAGGGTAAAATACCTGATTGGTTTTGGATATCCTATTCGCTACTTCTGGGTCAATCTTCCCCTTGTTGCTAATAATTGTACCCTAATAGGTGGATTCTGGCACAACTTCAAGGACCTCCCCATTACAGATCAGCTGTACGTCCTCTTCTTCATCTCTTGATATGACTAGGACTTTGCTTTTGGAGCTATTGATAACCATACCTTTGCTGAGGAGTTCTTCCTGCCATTCTACAAGAGCCTGCTGCAGCTTGTCTTTCGTGTCCACAATCAGAACGATGTCATCGGCATATAGTAGGCTTTGGACCATAATATTCCGCAGATCCCATTTTCCGTCCAAGCAGTACGACGCTTACAATTTTATGGATTTCATCCATAAATATGATGAACAAGAGGGGACTTAAGCTGTCTCCCTGGCTGACTCCTCTTTCCATGGGAAAAGGCTTGGACTTTCTACCATTAATCCTTACAATTCCTTTTGCTGCCTTATAAGCCGATTGCCATGATAAGATCAGTTGGAACATTTTTGCCGACAAAGCATCCCATATTTCTTGTCTTGGAACAGAGTCAAATGCTGCTTTGAGGTCCAGAAATGCTATGTATATATTCTTGTCTCTGTCCCATGCTTTCTCTGTGATGCCTCTTAGCACGAAAATGTGATCTTGAGTCTGCCTCCCCGGGTGAAAGCCTGCTTGTTCGCTCTCAATTTTGTTCTCAACAACGAGTCTTAATTTTTCTTTCTAAAATGCTCGGAATTATCTTTACAAGCCAAACATTTGTCTCGTTGTTCATACAGGAAATAATACCACCCCACATTTTGTAGCTAAGGCCATCAAAAAGTGGGTGATATTCGCCATTTTCATTTAGTTCATCTACTTTATCAGCGATGAGTTTGCAGGGTCTGGGATGACTCTTGCATCCTTAGACGAGTGTCCTAATGTAGGCAACAATTCGGGATGTGATTTTAGAATGATCTTGGCAGCTATCTTAGTTCTTCTTTGTCACCTTCTCATTGTTTTTGATAGTTTAGGTGTGGCAGGGACTGCTTCTTTCGAAGCACATCCTCCACCTACAACCTGAAGGTTTAAATCGGGCCTGCTGATAGCCTCGTTCCTTGTAAGGATTTTGGAGGTAGGGCAACAGCACTAACCTCAGCTGTGGTCGCCATCTTAACTTCCTTTCCTTGATAGCATACCTGCAGCCCCTTGATTTCAGCAGTGAGAGACTTCAACATGTCTCCCATTGATACCTCATTGAGGGTTACATCTAAAGAAACTTCTGAATACTTAAGGTATTTAAGTTCCCAGGAAGATGAATCCTCCTCAGAAGAGAAAGTTTGTGTAGTTTTTTTTTTTTAGTTTTAGTGTTTGATCCGGCATATTGTTCCCACAAGTACAGGGGAGAATAGTCTGTATGTGCTTCCCCTCTTCCTACAGACGGCTACTTACAATGGGTGTCGCCTGGTGCCCCAAGTGGGTTGATAAAAGACAGTGTATTTTTATACACCTTCTGCCATTAAGCCAAACCTCACTCGAGCCCCCTCCACTTAGCTTAGGTGTCTTATGTGACTGTCGCAACTATCATAAGAATAGAAGCGAATGAACCCCGACTCTGTCGTCTGTGAGTCCCATCAGACTCCATGGGGGGCACCAACATGGAGGTGACAGTATGCATTGATAGGAATAAGGAGGTCTCGTAACTCGCATGTAGCGGATAGTGCTCTTTAGCATGGTCATTTCACAAAGTGTGGGGAGACTGGGGAGAGTGGTTATGTGGACAGAGGTAGCATCTGAGTGCAGAAAGATCCTGACTTATTCTCAAAGGAATATCTATCTATTCAAAATAAAGAAAAAATAATTTTTACCTTGGGCAAAAATTACTGATGTAGTGTGTGACACACTCATATTGCCACTAGGCTTGAATAAAAATCATATAACTTTTTTTTTTCTATTTTTAAATATATATACTGTAGTATCTTTTCAATGGGCTCTATCTATTGATTATGAATAAAGTTGTATATCAAAATGGTCAGGGACCTCAGTAATTCCTATTTTCATTTGTCTGATGTTGGAATCATTGACCTGTTCCATTTATTAACCTGATACTTACATTTATTTTTAGGTATGATCCTAAAATGGATCGCTGGCAAAATGTTTGTTCTATGTCTGTTGGTCGAGATGGAATAGGTGCTGGAATTTTAGGCAATAGAATTTTTGCAGTTGGAGGTTATGATGGAGAATCATATTTAAAAGTAGTTGAGGCATATGACCCTTTCACGGATACATGGTCTCAGGTAAAACTGTTGATACATTTTAAATTGGCATTTATCATCTCATATCACCAGCTTGGAAGAAAACCGGTACTACTCAAAAATTATAAAACTTTCAATTTTCACTTAATAATTTTTGAGTTAAGCTGATTTACTTCTAAAGTAGGGATAGGGTAATTAAATGTATATATATGTAAGATTGTTTTTATGTGATTTTATGCTGTATATAAGAACAAATACGTAAGAATAAAATGAAACGTTTACAATAAATAATGTAAAGAGATAATAACAGTACCTGTATAAAAGAATTAAATTGCATGTCTTTTCACTGTAGTACAAAATAATAATTATTAATCACCATATCAAATCACATGTCATTAATAGATAACACACTGAAGGTTGCAACAATATTGTAGCACAGTGCAGCAAACTTACACATCCCTCCTAAAGAGAAAGGAGAAGAAAGGAAGGAGCTTACTGGAATGAAAGAAGGTGGAAACTTTTTTTTTCAACTTGTCACCTCATAAAACATCGGTGACTATTGAAAAAGATCCAATTCATATGGGGTCGAATTGGTTGTGATTAATTTTGTTACCATTTTCAATATATACAAATTGCCTTTTTCTACTTCTATTTTTCTAAATTAGTATTTTTCTAGTTCTATAATTTACCTTCAAAATAAAGAAACCTGCTGATTGCTTTAATTATTTTCATTAAAACTGTTACGGTCTTTAATTTAGAAGAATTGTTTCTGCAACAAACCTGCCGGATGCTCAGTTGAGACGGTAGGGTTCGCAAAAAAAAAAAAAAAAAAATAAAATAAAATAAAAAACAAATAATCAAGAGTCAGTTAAATATTAATAACTATCTAACAGGTGCTATTTAATTTGTTGAATTTGGAAAATAGGAATAGGAGGGACATATTTTCTCCGTATATTCCGTAGTCTCTAATTTCAAAATAGTTTTAATTTTTTCCTCATTTCGTCCACTTTATTTATTCCGGTAATTCCACGATTCTTTAATTCATACTCCAAATCCTCTTCGAATAACCTATCGACATTCATTTTAATCCGATTTAGATTTTTTTTTTTTAAAAATTAATATTTTAAAAAAATTTCATAAATTAAAAAAAACTAAATTTTACTTTTATACCCACTTTATTTATTTCAAGTCCCTGTTCAGGGGCGCCATTTTGTTATGGTCTTTAATTTAGAAGAATTGATTCCGCAATACACTTGCTGGATGCTCATTGGAGACGGTAGAGTTCGCAAAAAAAAAAAAATAAATGATCAAGAGTCAGTTAAATATTAATAACTATCTAACAGGCGCCACGCTAATTTTAGATTTGTGGAATTTGGAAAATGGCGAAAACTATAAAAAAAAAAAAAATAATAAATAAATAAATAAATTTAATTTAAAAAAAAAAATTGGATGTGGAGTGAGCTACAAACTCGGAACCTATGGGTTTAAAAACATATGTTAATTAACCTCATAACCTATCGAACCTTCTTACTCAGTTAATATTGATTTTCCATAATCCTCCGAATAGGGTTTTACAATTCCTTATTAAACCTTAAAAATAAACAATATATATACATAAAATGTGAAAAAAAAATCAGAAAAAAAAGAAGAAAATTATTAATACTAATAAGAAAGGCTATTATTAATACTAATGATGAATTTACTTATTCCTATTGACTTAAATAACAGTTAAAGAAAACGAAAATTATGAACAAGAAATTAGATTTATAAGAAAACAAAGAAAATACAATTAACTTTAATTATCAAAGAAAAGAATATAAAATTATTATAGAACTAAACATTAACTGAGACTAACTATACAATAAACCAATGACAAATATATGAAGAAAAAATAGATAAGAACAAAAAAAAACTTATATATACATATTTAAAAAATCTCAATGGTTGAACACTGTTCAATTGGCACATTGAGTTATCTGAGGAAGCGGGAACTTATTTGAGCTAGCGTCATCAGGGTCTCCCCAGTCCATTTCTTCAAGTTGTGAAAATATTTACTTCCCAACTTGTAAAAACAAGTGGCGCTCGTCGCTGATAATCACAGGTTCCTGGAGAGGAAAAGAAAAATCCGGCATACATCGTAAAACTAAAGTATTTCATACACACAAATCCTTAGTGTGCTTCTACACTCATGAGGTTCTGCCATATCTCCTCAAACTGTCTTTTTTTTTCTCCCAATCAGCTGTTGGTTATTCCAATCCAAAATAAAATTAATACTTAAAACTAAGACTTATTATAAACTAATACTTATTATAAAAACTAATACTTATTTTAAAAAAACCTAATTTTATTTAACTCTCTTCGAGATAATAAAAAAAAACATTACTTTATGAACTAATTTTCAATAAACCTCTACTTAATTAATACGACTTTAAAGCTTATTAAACAAAGAAGTTTTCCTTAAAGTTGGAATATCTGTAGTATAGTTGGATGATAATTAAAAAAATAGCGATAATTAATGATTTTTTAAAAACAGAACTTAGCTTAGTTTAGCCACTCAAAAGTCCTCTTTAAATGGTTTTAACAGTGACATATTCTATTTTGATTTGAAGTAAAATTTGTTTAGCTTACAGTAAATTAGTTGGTTATTACTTAACCCTTTCACTGTGGGAGCTCATTTGAGTGTTTCTACCAGATTGTGGGACCATAAATCCAAAAAAACGGATTTTTTTTTTTTGCACAGATTTGATTAAAATACTATTTTGAATCATTCTGCAAGATATTGGATTCAAAAATGCATTTTAACCTTTTTATTTAACTTTTAATAAACAGAACATATGCCTTCCCGGGCCGCACATAGTAATGCAAAATTAGAGCGGCAATCCTGCAAAACTTCTCTTTCTTGCGTATTTGCTTATTTCTGAAAAGCAAAATAACTAAAAATTATCATAAAAATAACTGTAAGTGATCATAAAAATTAAATTATATTACTTATAAAAAAAGGACACTGACGGCGGAATTCAAATTATATATTTCTTTGTATTTTCAAAAGACAAAACTTGGATTCCCTACTTTTCTGCTGAAAATATAGGGGTGGATCTGAGAGGAATTGGTGTTAGGCGGTAAAGAGCTGCTGCAGCAGAGTAGTGAAGAACTGTGGAAGAGGCCCAGATCCCATACGGGCCGTAGTGCCAAGGAAGAAGAATAATCAATTCTTTACAAAATGAATTATCATGATTCCACTGTAGTAATAAAAAGTATTGCAAAAACTGGTGGAATATTTCTTTAGATATCAAATATTCAATTTAATTAGCGGCAAAGCACTCTATGAGACACAAAGCATTGCTTTTACCAATAAGTTATACATTAGTATAAATTAGTTAAATTTGTAAGGAATTTATTAATTAATATTTTATATTTTTACAGATGGCGCAATTGAATGTGGGTCGTGCTGGTTCCTGTGTTGTTTCTATTAAAAAAGACTAATTTTGTTTTGTTATTTATTAATTAAATATAACTTAATGTCATGAATAATATTAGGTAAGGGAATTAAAAAATCTAAATTATTTTAAAAAAGTATCACTAAATTAAGTTATTTTTTCTTGAATCAAACCGAGTGTAATTTGCAATTTTGCCGTATATTCTAGGCAAAATATGTATTTTACCAAAAATGAAATATAGTTCAGCTAAAATAATTGATTCATCAAGCAATTCTGTAAACTTTCTTGTAAATAGAAATGATACTTGACAAATAATGATCTGAAGAAGAAATACTAATAATTTTATTGTGGAGGCTTTATAGTTTTCAGCTCACTCCTTACAAGTATTTTTACAAGATGTCTGACATCATATTATAAAATTAACTTTTTATATATGTTCTCCCATTCTAGTCACTTTTTATTTAGAGCTCAATTTAAATATATTAGTTGTAATCCATTCCAGATACTAATATTAGTTTTAGATTATATTAAAAACTTCTATTGCAATATTAGTTTTAGATTATATTAATAACTCCTATTACAAGTCTTACAATATTTTTTGGGCTGCATCAGATGTTTACTGTTCCTGACAAGAACTTTTTAATATCTACTAACAGTTTTAGAAATGTGTTACAAATTTTGAGAAGAAGTTTCTGTTGTGTATTGTACAGGTCTTTTAGTAAATTATTTTTTTATTTTTTTTTAGAAAGAATGGAATGCTACACAACTCCCCTCAAATTCACTTTAATCAGTATAAAACTTTCCGTTTTTAGTGGACGATAAAAAAATAAATGATCACTCTGGCCAAATGCTTAGTGCTAAGCATAATAATAATTCTTTATTAAAAACATAATACTCACTCCAAATGAATTTAATGTGTATGACTAATATCAGCTTGTAGGAAATTTTTATTTTTGATTTCCATACCTGATATTCATGGTTGTTATTTTTTCATAATGATGGAATCAACTGTTAAAAAAGTCTTTCTTATATTGATGTTTCATTTTTGTACATATTCTTTCTTATTTTTCAATTTAATAACTATACATATATTAGTTTTATAAGTAACGAAACATTTATTTGAGCGAAGTTTCTAATTTTAGTTTTTTTTTTTGTACTTAACTACTTATTATATGACTGACATAATTTTATTTATTTTTTAATTTTCATTATTATAAATAATTAAAGTGACAGAAAAATGCCTTATTTTTATGCTGAATTTTATTGCAATGATGAATTTATAAATATTTATTAATTATAATTCAATATAAATAGAAATATTTATTTACATGGTTTTATATATATATATACTGTATGTGTGTGTGTGTGTGTGTGTGTGTGTGTGTGTGTGTGTGTGTGTGTGTGTGTGTGTGTGTGTGTGTGTGTGTGTGTGTGTGTATGCATACACACAGAGTGTCCCGTAAGTAGAGGAAATTTTTATAGGAATGATAGCAGACCTCAATAGCTACCAAAAAAGTACATACAAACAATGGGCCAATTTTCAGCAGGAAAGTATTAAATCCAAGTTTTGTGTTTTTGTTTTGTTTTTTTTGCTCCGACATAAGGGGTGCACCGTGGCCTCAAAAAGCCATATTGTGCGTCATCCTATTGTAGTTAAAACAGGCCAGATGCCATTGCGAACCTATCGATACTTATAGGATCAATCATTTGCAAGTGCTTAGGGTCAGTGATACGATCACATCCAAAGTGGAAGTATCGCAGTCTAGCCAAATTATCACATCTACAAAAATGTGATAGGCCGTTTCATCCTCCAAGTCACATAGCCTGCAGGTGGAGATCTCACTTACACCCAAATTGAAAAGGTGCTTATTTAATTGACAGTGACCGGTACACAGTCCTGTCACCTGCCTAACGGTATTCCTGTCTATTAGAAGAAGTGAATTACTTCTCTTCTGGCAGGGCCCTTTTAGGAATAACTTAAAATGGGTTTGTTTCCAAGTCTGTACCCAGTGTAGCATACACTTATTGCCCATGATTGCCTTAATATATATTTTGGCAAAGCCAAGGCTTATCCCACAAATAGAATCTGCTGCAACAGGCACCTGTGCTGAGCCTTTCCTTGCAAGGTAATCAGCTTTCTCATTTCCTGGAATGCCTGAGTGCCCAGGTACCCATTCTACTCTCATCTTGTTAGTACTACAAAGAAGGTTAAGATTGCTTTTACATTCATCCACCTCAGTTTCATAAAGAATTAAGGGTCTAATCACAGTTCTGTATAGCCAAAAGGCCATACTAGGTTTCAGCCCCCACTATTTGCCAACAATTCTTCAGCATGCCCATAAACAGTGTTTAGCCTTACCACTAATTTTTTCAATATGATTTAGCCAGTTTTACTTCACTACATATATTTAGTATAGTCCTATTTAATGCTGATGGTCTTAATGTTAATATTTCTTCTATTAGTGAAGATACAGAGCTTTATCTTCTGCGGGTATATGCCAAGGCCATTTTCCTGGCACCATTCCTTCAGAAGTCTCATAGTGTTTTCGAGTAGTTCAGAGATAGTATATGGAAACTTTCCCCCTATCAATACCGCAATAACGTCAGTGTATCCCTGAGAATAAAACCCTGCCGCATTCAATTTAACAATCAGGGAGTTGACGACCAAACACCACAAAAGTGGAGACAACAAACCCCCTTATGGAAACCCTCTAACAGGTTTAAACCACAGTACAGATAGTCCCAACTCGAATTTAAGGAATCTTCTCCTCAGAACCGAATTAATCCATTCCAAAGCCACATGTCCGACCCCTCTACTTTCCAATGCTCTAGCCATTGTATCATATGGGGTACCATCAAAAGCACCTTCCATATCAATGAAGATACCCGTCATAATCTCTTTCTGCAATAAACTTTTCTCGATTCTAGAGATTACATAATGTAACACTATCTCACAGGATTTGCCTGCTTGATAGGCAAGTTGGGCACAGTGTAGTGGTCTTTCTACTAATGTAGAGTCCCTAATGTGTCTATCCATAATCTTTTCCAACACCTTCAACAGAAAAGAAATCAGACATATAGGTCTATATGCTTTGGGATTGTTATGGGACTCTTTCCCAGGCTTAGGTATATAGCAGACTCTTGCTTCCCTCCACTTATTAGGGACATATGCAAGTGCTAAGCTACCCCTAAACACCCCTGACCGTGCCAATGACCAAGCCATCTGTTTGCTTTGACAAGATTTTATGGACTCTAGTCGTGGATGACTTGTTGTTAATGTCACTATAAAAGTTTCTCCATACTCCCCTTTTTGCCCTACATACAGCCTTATTATATTCAGTTAGGGCATGCTTATAGTTATCCCATCTGCCCGTACTCTTGGCGGAGTTAAAGAGCTTTCTAGTTGTGGCTCTTAGCTTGCCAAGTTCATCGTTCCACCAAGAAACATTCCTGTTGGATCTGACACAACTAGCATTATTATTATCAGTGTTAGACCTCATAATTCCCTCATATAATGAGGATTTGAGGCATTCCAAATGCCGAGAATTCCTAATGATCTTAGGACAGCATTTTACTTCTTCCTCTAACTGTATACAGTATCTCTCCCAATTTGTACGTTTTGGTTTTCTGTATACAGTCTCAGTCACATTATATCCAGAGAAGTCAAATCTGATATAACGGTGATCAGAGCATGATTCTTCACTAGAAACATGCCGTTCCCTTATCCTAGAACTCAAGCAACACGTGCCTAATGTTATGTCTATTACTTCCGAGCGGATTCTATTGACAAAGGTGGCAACATTGCCCCTATTTAGAATCTAAATATGGAAGCTACTTAAGTACTTTTTTTTTAAAATTGATTTATTCAGTATTAATACAGTCTGCCACACTGAAGGGCATAATCTGAAGGTTTTATGAATTTTCCTAAATTTATTCTAAAATTAAAAAAAAAACAAAAGGGTACACATTTTTTTTTCTTTGGACTTTAAAAAGGTTTCATTTCAAGTATGATTTATTTAATTTTTGAGAGAAATAAAAAAATGTTATTAAAATTCATTTTTTTCCATAAGGAATAGTTAGTTACTTTGGTGCTTCAACACGTTGACGCTTCCAGACAATATATACATGAACATAAATAACAGTATGTAAATTACTAAAAAAAAAAATAAAATCTTCTCAATTATACTTATAATTTTACTGGAAAAAAAGACAAAAGTAAATAAGTAAATTAAAAAAATTACATGTACAGAAAGAAAAAATATCAAAATTACATAAATAAAAAAGATTGACTTATGTTAAAACCCAAACATAAGCTAAATCATACAAAATATATACATTTATTAATGACAGAAGATGAGCAACTGGATCTCACCAGAGAGAAAAAAAAACAACTGATTTAAAGAAAATAAATTATTTATATATGTTATACAATACGCAATGGTATTGTAAACTATAAAAAAAACACGGAGATTAAGATAGGAAATATATGTATACAAATTGAGGAATGTAAGAAATGCAATACTTCTAAAATATACACAATGTTGTAGATAGAAAAAAAGAAAAATGGATAAAAACAACAAACAATCTCTTATTTTTTATGCATCAACTCACAGTGCTATGTCAAAAGTGATACTGAATCTTTCCAATCCATAAATAATAAACAAAAAATAAAATAAAATAATGGTTCATGAAAAAAAAAAAAAAAAATATCCTTGTTACATGATACATAATTAACCAGCGGCGTCTGATTGGATTGTGAATAGGAATTGGAATAAGAGGGTTTTGAATGTGGATAAGGATGGTGCATGGCGGATTTTAAGTGGAGAGGAATTCCAAAAGGTAGAGGAGCGAACAATAAAGGAATGTTGAAATGAAGCAGATCTATGGAAAGGGGTGTCAGAAGGCCGAGATCTTGTGGAGAGGGAATGGACAGATGATTTAAATTAGAGGAGATTGTATACATGAGATGGGCGATGATTGTTGATTATTTGATAAAGGAATGTGCCAAGGAAGTATTGTCTTCTGAAGGAGGGGATGAGCCACCCTAACTGGGCATAGTAATAATAATAATGCTTTATTTATTCTGGGTCCCTTTAGAATAATACAGAAAGACAAAAATGTGGGCTAAGGAGATATAGTTTGATTAAATAGTCAAAATAAAAAATAATAAAAGAAATTATAAGTTACTTTCTAATTTAAATCAGTTAATAATAAAAAATTGAAAATAAACATGAAGTAAAAATAATGAAGAACGATCTAATAATCTATATGCTTATTTACAGTAGTAGCTATTTACAATTTTATGAGGACTGGGTGGATAAGAAATGATTAAACAGTCGGGATTTAAAGGTAGGAAGGGTTTTGGATTGACGAATGTGGGGAGGGATGGAGTTCCATAGGGTTGAGGATCGAATAATAAAAGATTATTCCAAAGCAGCGGTTCAGTGGGCCATTATATATAATGAAGGATGGCAGGAGTAAATTACTTGGAAGAGGAATGCTGCCAGGAAATACTTACAGCGGACCAGGAGTCTACGGATTTAAAAATGAAAAAGGTGTCGCAGGCTATTTAAGTGTTTTAGGGTGAAAATGGTACGTCGGGAGGTATTGGATACATGGTTTTTCCAGGAAAGGGTTTGATCAAAGATTATTCCAAGGTTTTTGATGATGGCATAAAATTTAATGGAATTATCATGTAGGAAGAGGTTTGGAAAGTTAGAAACAGTTTTTAGGAGGTGATTGGAGCCTATTAGGATTGCCTTGGTCTTTTCCGCATTCAACTTCAGCTTGTTAGCTCCTGTCCAGTCATATATTCTATTTAAATCTTCTTGAAGCTTTTTTGTGGTGGCTAATAGGTCAAAAGGGGGGAAGGACAGGTATATTTGGAAATCGTCGGCATAGATGTGGTATTGGGAGTAATGGATCAGGAGGAGAGGATCATTAATGTAAATAGCAAACAGAGTAGGAGATAAGGAGGAACCGTGAGGGACACCCCAGGAGAGGGGAAGTGTCTTTGAAGGAGATTGATCTGGGACGACTACATATTGGGATCGATCGGAAAGGAAGGATTTGAACCAACGCAGGACACTGTTGGATAGAGGAAGATTTTGCAATTTGGTAAGAAGGATTTTATGGTCAACTGTATCAAACGCTTTGGAAAAATCTAGAAGGATGAGGATAG